TAGAATGTGCAAATAAGCTTCAGGTATTCAAAATATTTCTTGAACAAATGGTATTGTTCGCGGCCACTCCAATGCGCTGGCTTCATCGCTTTGAACGGTGGAACTGTGTGACGTTCACTGTTTCTTACAAACAAACTAATATTTATACACAGAAGCTACGCTGGAGTCATAAACCAAAGTACAGGAAGATGTCTAAATCGAAATTTGACTTAAGTTTTCCCGTGAATGCCTGACAACTAGGATAAGTATATGTATATATGGCTATTAAACGGACACTGTCTAATGCGGAAAAAGTATCGAGGAAGAAGATTTTGTTGGAAAATTGTCTGTTTAAATATTTGTTATTTAGCGAGACGTCCGTATTTCGTGAGAAACATTCTTACATCAGAAAGGAAAAGTGTATATTCGGTAAGCCTGGGTAAGTAGAATTTTTACAAAAAGAGAGGAGAAACAGAATAAAAAGACAAAGAAAGAGCGAAGAAACAAATGAAGAAGCTGAAACAAAATTTAAAAATAAAAAAAAAATAAAAGCTTTCTCGCCCGTTAAGAGAGAAGTTTAAATTCGACAAACATGAACTTAATGTCCGCGATTCAGGCTGTGAACACACTCCGTCTTATTCAGGGGCTGAGTACCTGAGTAAAGAAAGACCTGCTCGAAACGAAACCCTTCAAATTCCGTCATGTTCATATGTTACCTTGTCACTGATTGATGCGAAACTTTGTATCTTACTGCTCCAGACAGAGAACACATTTAAGCTGTTCAAATAACAAGGCGCTTAGGAAAATAATTCTGGACCCAAGGGGGGGGGGGTGACAGGTGAAAGAAGACCATAACGAGAAGCTTCATAATTTGAGCACGCGTGGGGAAAATACAAAATGCGTACAGAATTTTTCTGGAAATCCTTATGGGACACCTTGCAGCAGCTGGGAGGGCCTTAAAGATAATAAGTTGTGGATTGGATTATTCTGGCTCTGGACTGGAACCGGTGGCGGGTCCTTGTAGAAACATTAATAAACGAATTGAGAATATCTGCTGTCGTGCGTCTTCCTAGTTTAACGACACTGTCTCAACTCGTATTCATCTTGAGATAAGACTGACGTAGCACGATTCTGCGACTACCTTGGTTTCAAGTAGGTTATCACACACTCACACACACCTTATAGGAGAACAAGGTTCCCCAAGCCGGCGGCCTTGCCTATCCCCATGTGGAGGGGAGCAATGGGATACACGTAAACACTCCCGCGCTAAGTGATTCGAGAAAAGACTGTTCAGGGACGACTTATTTAATTCAAAGATTCCCATATTCGGATACTACGTAATAGTTTGCTTTTGGATTTTTATCTCACTACGTCAAGAAAAAGAAAAGAATGTATTATTATATAAAATTAATATCTCCTCACATTTTAATATTGCCACGGATTGTAATCCGTACCTTCCAGGTGGAATATTGGATTAAGTGTACGTTTCGCCAGTCACCAAGCTGACATACGTGTATCCATATCTTAACACCACTCACATCTTCACATTCTCATTGCCATTCCTTCTTATTCTTTGTCCACCCACTGTTCTTCTGACACTCCTCCTTTTGTCACTGCATCATGAATTGCAAACTCCCATCTAAGGAATATAATTTTATAAAACTGTGGTTCGCGTACGTTTGGGGTAAAACATCAAGTTTGGGCCCCATACAGGACAGAGAAACCCGTAGTTTTTCGCAGGTACGTAACAAAATCGAGATACTAACAAACAGAGCTACTGTGATCGTACCAACAGACTCGTTTCAAAGTAAGGACTTCGGAAATAAACAACTCGATACAGCGGAATCCTTCTTGAGAAGCTGTCAGTCGCCCAGCTGGTTCCGTAGTTGGTACCGATAAATGCTGATAAACCTTCGGAAATACGGAATTTAAAAATAACATTTTCCGTCTCAGACATTCTACACTTTCATTTAAACTAAACGAGCTATTTATACGATGTAGAGACGAGAGATTTTCGACATGAGATGCCCCCAGTTTCCCAGCAGGCCAGCTCATGATCTGAGGAGGACGCAGTAACCAGCGACTGCTAGAAGGTGCAGACAGCTACGTGTGGGCAGGTGTCCCTGTGCCCTTGACATAACACTTCGGAGTATGTCACCGTTTTCCAGAGTGAGTTCATGATGCCCTTCCTCGACGGGGCACGCCTTTCACACAACGGCCTAGCCCAGTTGGTGTTCCCAACGAAGGTGATGATGATGTTTCCACAGCGACCCACGACATAACTGAACCAGGTGCCAGCCCACGGACCCAGTTCAATCCAATCCACAGCGCGACAGATTAATTTACTTTTTAATAAGCTTTATACTGTTTTTTTTAAAAAATATATATATATAGGCGTCTTTCGGTTAATTCATAAAACTCGTTTTGAAGGTGACCGAAGTTACCCCGTTCTGAGCAGCAAAACCGAAGTGAAACTACTAATTTCTTGGTAGTGACGGAGACAACCAAATTCAGAAACCTGAAGAGATTCATCAATGATCATTCTCTGAAGAAGGAGAAGAATACAAATCACGGCCTAGAAAATCTGATACAAGAATTTACGCGGATAACGAGGCTCTTATTCCTTGACACTTTGATTTGTACCCTATAAATAAACGCCGATTACGTGTACATTTACAAATACGTGACGCATAAGGCAAAAACAGAAAAGTACAGTATTACACAAACTTCTATGAAGTGGCTTCAGAATGTAATATAAACTGCATATGAAACTAAACTAAACAAGATAGTATAATTGCGTCATATTGTGAAACAAATATTAAATTAATTATTCGGTTTGTCCGTCTAATCACAATTATATTTAAAATATTTAAAATATTTAAAATTTACAATAAGATAATTAAAATATCATTTTATGTTCCACATCGAATAATCCAAATGTAAATCGATTATTCGATGTGGAACATAAAATTATATTTTAATTATCTTATTGTAAATTTTAAATATTTTAAATATAATTGTGATTAGACGGACAAACCGAATAATTAAACTAAACACGCAAACAATTAAAAAAAAAACATGGCAAGAAAACTTTAGATTTAAACATCGCTGACTTATAAGACAATTCTTTCCACTTTCAGTCCTCGCGGAAAATCCTCCTAAGATTCATCTTAACATTCTCCTCCCATCTCCTTTCACGTCTTCAGAGTGAACGTCTTATATGACGTTTCACTACCAAAATTCAGTATTCTTTCATGTTTCTCTATCGTGGGCACATGACCAATCTTTTGCAACTTTAAGATTTCAACAATACTAACAGACCCGTATAAACCAGGTGTCTAATTACGTATATTACTTTAAAATTTTGTTACAAAACTTGTATATTATTATTATTATTGTTAATGATATATAAAAAACTGAAAATTGAAGAGAAATTTCTGCTCGAAATTCCCGATAGGTTCTGGCCTATTACAAAGACAGCGTCGCTCGTAAAAAAAAAGGTGTGTGTGGAATGGCGTTATCAAATTCGTAATCGACACACCACTCAATAATGAGAATCTTACGTCCCCAACCTTAGTCGATTTGTTTTAATAAATAATGCCCTTGTTCCTTCGACAAATTTGTGTGTTGATGACAGCGATAAATATTATCACTTACGTTAACGTATGTATACCAGTAATTTAAACAAACTTTTTTATCTCTTACAGTACGACATGTGTACTATATGCTAATAGAAGAAGTTGACGAAAGCGGACAGTAAAGGTGGTACCATTTCATCCACACCTGGCAGGCGTTTTGGTATTTTTAGGTTAAGTTCCGAGTCATATAATTACGGTGTTTTAGTTTGTCATTGTTGCTGTCTGTAGCAAGCAACTCATCAGCATACAATGACGGCTAACATCTGCATACTATCACACAGGCAGTACTTTGTCAGAGGGCGGGCATACCTAGATAAACTATCATTTACTATAACTAAGTAAGGTTAGAGAAACCAATTCCTGCCACTAGGGGCGTCACGGTCAAACATCTGTTCTTTATAGATCGACTTTTCCACGTGACAATCGAGGGAAATGGATCAAAGTTTGTACAAGAAACTAGGGTTTGATACGACGTCATGTCAACAAATGTAAACTTTGCGATAAAACTGTATTGAAACCGAATCTTCTCCTCAGAGTCGCATTCGATAAATTTATTTACGATGTTGTCGGTAGCCCAGAATATACAAGATGGCTGTTATCAGGTGAGCCAACTCTACAATATTTATACGAATTTCGTATTTATGTCAAGACCAGATACGTTTACAAGTTCCTCGAATTTTTAACAAAACCCACAATCTGATTTTTTTTTAAAGCTGATTGATCATAATATGTGAAATCGAGACATACAATCGATTACATTTCTAAGGAAAGCAATTACAATTGAAAGACGGTCCAAATTTCAGTTGTGATCTCAGATAACAGAATGCATGATAATTTTATTTTCTTAAATTTGAGCAGTTATGAGGTTTTCTTGTGGGGGGGGGGGGGGAA